GAAAAACTTCAAAACATTATTTTTCAATGGGATATGAGACACCTTTCCTTGAAAGGTAAAATAGTTGTTTTAATGCACTTTTAATCTCCCAAATTCTTTTTCCAATAATGGTACTCGATGTCCCAAAATGGGCTATTAAGTCTTTGGAAACAATGTTTTATAAATTCCTCTGGGGAAAAAAGGAAAGAGTTAAACGGACGACCGTTATTGAGAATAAGCAAAAAGGAGGGTTAGATATGGTTCATTTACCCACAATTATAGCTACAGTACTTTTAAAATCAAGTGGATCAAACGAATACTAAGTGATGAAATGGCAGCATGGAAAAACATCCCACTGTCAGTTTTAAGAGGTATTGTACCACACACATCGTTTCTTAATTTTAATTATTCTGCAATTCAACACAATACAATTTTGGGTAGCCAAACAAATGATTATTATGTTAAAAGCCTATTATGTTTGTACGAACTAAAAAGCCCAAGAAAAGTGTTGGACATCAACAATCCCGCAAATGAAATTATCTGGTGTGTAACTCCTGTATTGAATATTGAAACAAACAACTATATTTTAAAAATTGGGTAGATAACGATATCCTTTATATCAAAGATCTTTTTAACGAAAACAAAACATTACGATCTTTTAAACATCTTAAAGATAGATTTCAAAGAAAGGAATCATTTATGATGAAATATTTTATGATTTTTAGAGCAATACTAAAACAATGGTTTAATGCAAATTTCAATCAAACGAGTGACCCGCGCGACACTCAACCCGGTCTGTACTTAATGAATGAATTCATTTCAATATATTTATAACAAATTGCTTAATAAAAAAAGAACTCATCCAAAAGTATTTTAAAACACCAAGTTGTCAATCTAATTGGGAACACCGTTTAAATTACTATGATTTTAACTGTGATGATATCTGGTACAATCTATGCTCAGTTTCCAACTACCCAAGGGTGTTCTCGACAAACTGGGAAATTTTAAATAATTGTTTCCCTACAAACATTCTACTTAAAACAAATGGGAATCACTGAAACACATTTTTGTAAACTTCTGTAATGCTCAATTAATAGAAAATATCGAACACTTTTTATATTTGTCCCCTCGTATTAATTGTATTTGGGACGAGCTGAAAGAAATTGTAACGAAAAAATACCGGAAAAAAAAAATTTAGATTTGCATCATGCTTTGTTTGGTTACTTCTCAAGAAATTTCAACTGTTGTTACATTAATAAACTTATTGCTAAGTTTTCAATTTACAGACTTAAACTCGGAAAATACAACAACCCGAATCGAGTATTCCACAATGACTTGCTTATTAGTGGCAAAGACAAGCCAAACCAGTCACTCGTCGCAAAAAGTGATTTTGAGTTATTAATACAGTGTTAGAGAGTAAAATAATAGCTATAATGGTAAAAAAATCATTCAAATCGGACATTTCCTTATGAAGTTTCAAGCGTTTAAACACACAGCTGTTTAAAGAACAATATATGAGAAATCAGCCTTCAAAGTTTATGATTTCAGGCATTTCTCATGCAGAAACTATCTTTAAATCCTTAAAAAGTGATGTTTTAACATTGAAAATGGGGAAATTAACTGTATAGAATGATGTGTACATATATAAAGGTTAGTTTAGTGCAATAAAATAGATTTTTAAAAATTTGAAATTCCAGCTTGTTTTGGCCATTTTCTCTGAAACACAATTTGCGACGAGTGACTGGTTTGGCTTGTTTTTGCCACAAAGGTACTTAAAAAAAATCATTGTACATTAACTGAATTTTTTGCAAAACGTTTTTCCAAATCTAAAGTTCACCAGTGCTTTTTGAATAAAGGCACCGTTAAACTTTATCAAATATTTTTTTTTTTTTGTAATCAAGGAAAAAGTAATACTTCGGGAATATTTTAATCTTTAGTATATTTAATACCATCTGAAATTCAGCGAATGTTTTTCCCTAAAAAAGCGACCTTTAAGAAAACCTGTCTGATCTGAATGAATTATGGAAAGTAACACTCTTTTAATTTGTTAGCTCACTCTTGGCAATAATTTTATAAGCCGTATTTAGTAATGTAATCGGTCGCCAGTTTTTAAAATATAAAGCCGATTTACATTTCTTTGGAATAAGTGTCAAAATACCTCTTTTTTAAATCGATTACTAGCAAAGCTGATAGTCGCACCTCTGACATTGCATTTGATCATCTCCCAATGGGTATGAGGATTACATGTATATATGTATATATACATAGGCCTATATACATATATATATGTATGTATGTATATGTATATATGTATATATATTTGTTGTTGCGATATGACCACATGTATTATTTAAGCATTGATGCGAGTGTGACAAATTTTAAATATTGACCTACAAATTGCTTCTTATCAGAGGACAACAGTTATTAAAGACGCCATTTGTAGGTTAATATTTAAAATCTGTCACTCACATCAATGCTTATCTATAGCTGTTTTTCAATTTTTTACTTTACTACAAGTAATGTCAAAGATGATTTTAAAGTAAATTTATTAATTTATTGGTAATTTTTATAGTCTCATTTTGACTATAAATGAAATTTTGTCATTTTTTATGCTTCTTTTTCTATAGACTGTGCAGGGAATATGGTATAGAAACATTGGTAAAACTTTTTTGTTGATGAGATTGGGCTACGAGAATGTTTACATATGTAAAATAATGCATAAAATGAATTGTACAGTAATACAGTACTTAAAACATAATAAATCTTCTTCTCTACAGAAAATGTTGCATGGCAGTCAAATTTGAGTAAATCCAAGTTGTTTTTGTACCCAACAGACAACAGAACTTGTTTAAGGTAGGATCACTTTGTTTATCCAAATTGTTAAATATCAGGTATACATCGCCCCCCCCCCCCACCACCTCCAACAAACACACTTATAAACGTCCAGCCTATCACACAATTCAAGATCCTATCTATGCATATAATCCTTAAATTTATGAGCATATGCCTTATCTTAGTATCCATCTAGAAACCTGCAGTATTTTGAGATGGCGATACAGATTACCCGTGTCGTACAATGCACTACAACCTGAACAATGTTCAAACTCCTCCACTTTCTTGTTGTTTCTCAGTGATACACAGAGCCAAATAAAATAATGACTCTTATCTAGGATGAAAAAACTGGATCCTAAAAGTTATTGAATGTAGTTTTCTATGGCCATTCTTATCCAAAAGATAATGATTCACAAATAATGATTTGCCTATCATTTACATATTAGTTTGAAATGGATTATTAAGTGACATTTAAAAAAATATTTTTAATAAAGACAATACCGTACTGTAATTAGCCAGATTAGAAACGAAAGAAAAGAAAAGCCGAGATTAGAAGAGGTCAGTTATATGAGTAGGATTAACAGTTTAATTTATGGTCAAAATCCTTTTGTGTAGCAGGTCAATTGGGACGTTATATCGATAATAAGAAATTATTTAGGATCCTTTAATTTTTTCATGTGTTCGTAATTGTACGATTGAGTTTCATTAAGTACCTTTCGAATCCCGATTTAATCGTTATCCTGAGGCAAAGCTTTCTCTCGCTGAGCCGCAGGCCATTGACTATGAGCTAGCGTACCTTAGGACCAAAAATAATATTGAGCGCTTTGTGAACCGATGACCCTGAATTTGTTTCCCCCATTTTTATTTGTTGATTGAAAACTAGAACCGGGCAAGTATTATACCGGATAATTTGTTAACCTTTCAATTTAATGGTTCAGTTATCTACCGGCACTTTAAGATGAATGCATTAGAATTAATCAGCAATTAAGTTAATTCAACCTTTGTTTCTTGACGTTCATCGACCGTCGGAATGCGTATTACTCAGTGGCAATTGCAGCGTTTCCTTTAATTTATTTGGCGGGCTAATCTTTATCAATTAAATGTGTTACGTAGGCTCTCAAGTAGTCCGCGTATTTTTAAAAGTGGACACTCTTGCCTTTGGTATATTGAGATGCTGTGTTGATCCTTATATTAGTATTACAGTACACAATGAATAAGTGATCTTGACACATCAATGAACATTTAACAGCTTTATTTATTACTGTCTGCGCGCCATGTTATATGTGTGCCGTTACTATGCTGTTCTAGTATAGGTAGGTCGTGGCGCTCAAGGTATCATTACGTATCGCTACACTTTCCCTCTTCACCAATGTTGTGAAATGTTTCTTTAAGATAAAATATGTAATGTACAATGGTATTGATACGGTACATATTTTACGGGGTTGTTGAACTTTGTTTCACGAGATCTTTTATATCTTGTGTTCACCTTTGCTTAAAATATCAATGGTAACGCGGAAGTTGCTGCGCTGCTGATAAGGTAGAATTAACCATTTAACAAGCCTTACCTATGGAGTTAAATTTGATAAAATTCTACCAGTAAAGCAGCAGCACTTTGGTTTCGGGGTTAACATACCCTCCCTGTCCTTTTGCACTCTGCCTTCAGTTTAGTTTTATGTGATGGATTCCTGCACACAGGATGGATTCCTGCACACAGGAATCTGAAGTGCGCCTTCTCATGTTAACCCCGAAGTGCTGCTGCTGATCTGGAAGAATGTCACCGAACTTCGCCTTCCCAGTAAACTCGTTGAGTTTCTAATTTTTCAAATGCTTCTCTGAATACAATAATCAACACTAAACTATCATTTTTTTTAACATTATATAGCCAAAGGTTTTGACATGTAATAATGTCAATGAAACATGTCCTTAATAATGCAAAATCATCTGCGTAAAGTAAAAAATAATTGAATAATAAATATTCTTTCAGAATGTTGTCTCTATCGTATCTTTAACTTGATATCATTATCAAATAATTATTATGTTGATTTTAACTAATTCAAATACACTATATACTGTCCAATCTTTTCAGATGGAACTTAGGTTGTCTAAAGTTTTTAAATATATTTGCACTCTAGTTTTACTATTATATAAGGTTCAATATGTAATCCACATTTTTGACAGTACAAACTTACTTATATTGCATGTTGGTCCAAAAAAACCAGACATACACTGACAGTTTTCGATACCGTAATATTCCGAGATGACACAGACTCCGCCATTCAAACAGTCGATATCGCAAGTTTCTTCAAATAAAATAAATAATCATAAATTAACGAAATACTATTTTCGAATGTCAGATTGACTGTGCAGCACCGTTAGCACAGTATAAAGA